TGATTGTATACTACTAACTCGTTTTTATTTAGTCGTTGACGTTTATACAGAATGGTGTGGCCCTTGTATACCAATGACGGCATACTTAAAAAAAATCAAGTTGGAATTAGGAAACGAAAATCTACATTATGCTATAGTAAATATTCATTGCCTTTATATACGATTTTAATATGCAAAAATTTGTAGTAAATACACAATCAATTGAAACAAGTATGTAGCAATAGATACATATATAGTTGGATTGGGTTAGAGAGGGTTGAAACGAGGATTATTCTTAGATAGCTGAATAATGTAGGCATTAAAAGTTTAAATATTTTGTAAAAAAAATGTCGTATTAGTTATTTGGCTAACATAAATTAACTGATACATACCTAACAAAGATAAAATATCTCTAATGAAATTTTAGAAAAGTTTTTTTGAGAATATAAATKTTTTTTCATATCATTAATATTTTAGGTTTATTTAAAATCTGTATATAATGTAAGTAAATTAGATGTATAAATAATTTACAATTTATAAAATCTGCACAGCCGTTTAGGAATGCATAAAGGACAGGCAGACAAACAGATAGAAATTCATTTTTTTCTTCTAATTAAGCTTCAACAACTGAGACCATTGGCTGTTGGTTGGTTGGTACTGTTGGGTTTCTGGGACTGTAGATTTTGGAACACATGTGTGTTTGGCTTAGTTTTTAGTGGKCAACCGAAGGTTTCTGCCATGCCCGGTTGGGATGTGGTGGCAAATTAATTTTGATATACACAGATTTATAACATTTATTCATTTTTTTTCGTTTAATATAGTACATATTTGAATAAATAAAAATTTGTTTGATTAAAATAATTTAAATCTAGGCAAAATCTGACAATATAACTGTGCTAAAAAGATTTCGACAAAAAAGTGAACCTCATTGGTTGTTTTTTTATGTAAGTATATTAATTATTAACAGCTAAAACCCATATTTGATTGATATTTATACCGTCAACTATAACTATTTGTTTTTTATTATTAATTATTCAAAAGGATGGGAAAATGGTCAATATCATTATTGGTACCAATGCTCCTAAGTTAATGCAATTAATAGTGGATGAATTGGAACAGTATGTTAAGTTCAAAAATGGTGAAATCCAGAGAGAGTTTGTAAGTATATATATATAATTTGTATTTCTCCTATGAATACTACAATGCTGAGTAATACACAAAAACAACATTTTTATAAATTAAGATACCACTGAATAAAGTAACCGACGAGGAGAAAAAAAAATTAATCGATACTGAAAACTATCTAAAGCAGAAAACAAGAAAAGAAAAACAAATAAGAGGTTTGTATTTCTATCAATATATTATATTTTGACTTTTGATAATGCTTCATTGTACATCTTCAATTTCTTCTTGGTTATTTATATTTAAATTAAAAATCTATTAAATAATTAATATTTATGAATATCTTACTTTAATGCCAGCAATAATATTTTGTTATGGAAGTTATACTGCATAAACCTACTACTTATTAATATTTTTTGCAATTATAGTTATGGAATAAATAATATTTAGTAGGTATAGCTATTATTATCGATACAAAAATAACAACATATAAACTACAAAAGAATTGTTCAATATATACTGCTGAAGCCATCGCCATACTATCAGCACTAAAACTTATTGAAAATGATACTCATCAGTATTACAATATTTTCACGGACTCCTTAAGTACCATAAACTCCATCCAAAATACATTTCATACAAACGACATTGCCACCACCATCATAAACCAAATAGAAAAA